CTCGGGTCTCAGCGGATTAGGCTGGGGGTTGAAAGGCGGGACTGTGTGACATACACAGGTCTAACTCAGTATCTATTTCTTGGTGGTTCACCCACCCATACAACAGCAGCATGGATACATTTTGATGAATTGGTTTTTTTGTCTCTAAAAGCCATATTGCTTTTTCATATTGCCCAATTTTGACATATTTTACACCACACTGAGAGAGCACATCCCTCCCTTGTAAACTGTTGTTAGTTTGTCTCATTGGTCACATTACCTCACTCGTAACATCCAAAGTCTGGGGTTACCTTTCAGTCTCTTCCTGCATTTTATAGAATTTTTATTGTTCCACATTATTTAGAGGTAGTCAACTAAATATTTACATCCACCCACAAACAGTAATCACCCCAAATAATTTTGAATGAAGTAGACCTTCAGTTCTAGTCTGGGACCAAATGCACAGCACCATTCCTGGCAGGCGTCTAAGGAAGGTACTCTGTTTGTGTATCAGTAACTGTAGTCTCTTTGGGATTATCTCTGTAGGATACATTCTTGAAAACAGTCTGACTTCGTGTAACCACTGAGGATGACAGCATGTGGACAAAATAAAGTCTCGGTGACTATTTCCCACGGAGTTAAATCATGTCATAAAACCCGGATGATTTCTTCAGTAACATTGCCTTTCCCAGAGGGGTTCCAGAAAGTCACTATCATCACCATCATCATCACCATCATCACCATCATCAATCAGGGACAATGAGGGATGAGGCTTTTTGGCTCCACTCTGCAAAAACTGCCTTGCTGTAATGGTTGATGCATTGTGTCAACTTGAGAAGTTTAGAAGTTTAAGGAAGTGACTCAGCAGGGGGCTGCTTTGTAAACATCCTCAGCCTGTGCAAGAGGAGGGAACAAAGATGGTGTGAGTGCTACACCTGCCCTAGGGCAGGCTGCCTGCTTAGAGTAGAGGGCAGGAAAAGAGGCTTGTCCCCTCTCCTTTTGCTTTTGCTGCTTTTGCTCTTCTCTGCCTCCTGGAGCTGCCTTGGGGGCCAGCTGATTATGGACTGAAACTGTGACCACAAACTGTGAGCTACGTAAACCTTTCCTTCCTTAACTTTGAGTGTCTAGTATTTTTTCTCAGCAATGAGAGAAAAGTAACTAAGACACTTGCTGAAGAGCAAGGGTTTAAATCCTCCTAAGATGTTACCTTTTTCATAATGCTCCACATGTCTCTATATATTTGGCACACTTGACAGTGGAAGCTTTTTAGCCCAGCTTTTATTCTTTTTCAGGAAAGCTTGCATCATAAGGGCTTTGTCTGAGTGATGTGTGACAACAGCATGACAAGCACCCAGGGGACACAGATGTGCAAAGTGCTGTGTACGTTTGTCCTCACATCGATTACCATTTTGAGTTAGTTGAACTTGTCTGTAATTGCGAAAGACTGCAATAATCATCGCATTCATCTGCTGTTTTATAGACCTTTAAAACATCCAGGCCTGCATTTACTCATTTGCTCATTAAACATTTACTCCTTGCCTACTATGTATGAAGAAAACATGAAATTCTGGACTCTATTGTCTTTTATTCTTCCAACCAACCACTTAACAACTGAGATCACAGCCAAGAACTAAAAGCATCTAGTCTATTCTCATCTCTCAGTGTAGACCCAGGCATTTAAAGTTCTCCAAGCGAGTAACTCTCTGCCAGCGAGAAAGTGTTGCAGGGTATTCCATGTCTGAGCAGGCTAGTCAAAGTGGCACCGAGAACAAGCTATGACTATTTATTTATTCGTGGATGAATCTGCATGAAAAGCAGGATTACCTTCAACTTGCTCCAACTTTCCTTTCCCTACCCCATCTTTTGTCTTTGACAGCTCCCTGCTCCATTACCTCTTAGCCTCATTTATTCATCTCACTCACTCACTCACTCACTCACTCACTCACTCACTCACTCACTCACCAACCAGGCATTTTCAGGCAAGAGTAAGATATTTTGCACAATGTAGAATCAAAGATCTGAAAGATGGGAACCTTACTTAAAGCAGCTACTGATTCTGTGAAGGAGACAGCTGATGTCCAGATGTAAAGAACATAGAAGAGCACAAGGAACGCCCATGAGTGTGCACAGTACGAGCGTGTAAAACACCAGGTTCTCTTGTAATTGTGACCTGCCTGCCTTGAAATAGCCCTGCTTCCCCAAAAAGATTCCCAACTGTGGCTGCACAGAGCATCACTTGCTGAGCTTGATACTCAGATCAGATACCTGTCCTGCTAGACAAAATCATGCAGATGGACATAAATGACAGTGTTCTTAAAATCAGCTATACCAATGTGTAGCTGAGGTTGAGATCCACTTTTAGGCTTAGAATACTAAGGGGCATGAGCATATCTTTTAGTATTTCTTTAAGTCCATGTTACCTGAACTTCTGTATTGCTCCCTGACATGACAGTGAAGCAGAGGAGCAGAAAAGAGTGGTATCTCAGAGAAAGTATTCATGTACTTTATTCTCTCAACAACAAGAGCCAAATAAAACAGTGACAACCACATCAACAAAACTGTTCTCTGTAAGGTCGTAGGCTAGAGAATTAAAAATGGTCCAACAAGGAGAGATCTAGGTAGTCAGTGGGTAAGGTAGGCATACGGCAGCAGGAAAGGCATTTTCCAGCATGCGCATGGTTTGAGAGATTCTGGGAAGACAGGGTGATCACGTGAGGAAGGTGAGGTAGATGGGGTAGGACGGGCATCCCTGCTCAAGGGGAATGTCGTGCATGAAGGAGATGGGATCGTAGTAGGAAGTCTGATTTGTTTTGACAACAGAACTTTAGTATTTTTTCCAATAAGTTTCACAACATTAGATCAGTGGCCAAGTTATTAGCCCATTTTAAGGGTCCGTAGAAATGAAACAAAACAGTATCATAAATCAGGATTAAGGTTCTGACCCTCAGTGAAGTGGATGAAGTGGATGCGTGGGTGGGTGGAGTCAGGGAACTCCAAAGAAGAACCCCCCTCAATTTGGTCAGTGTTATGAAATTGTGAAACACACTGGAATAGATGCAAAAAGTTCGTCATTAGCAAATAAAAGCTAAGTGAAACAACAGAATAAATTTATTGGAAAAGGTTCTGCTTAATTCCAGTGCCTGAAAGCAACTTTTCCATGTCCTTTCTTCACCTTATTATTAGTAGAATAGAAAGATGGACAGGAAAACTGGGTTTATACCTTGAATCCTCTTCTACTACTTGTGAGAACTTGGGTTACAAATTAATTCCTTGAGTTGTAATTTCTTACCTGTGAACTGGAGGATAATATCTATTTCAAAGATCTTGTAAGAAAGAAGAAATAATACAGTTGAGGGCCTTATGATTTGGAATATTTTTCTCCTGTTTCCTTTGTCTGTTGGAATTGTGGTAACTTCTAAGTAAGCACAGAGTCTTTTAGATGGAGGTAACATGTAAATTTTATCTAACAGAAATCTGCTAATGGAATAAATAAATTCTTAGGGTGTGGGTGGGGACTAGATTGTCCAAGTTTCCTGCCATGAGTAACTTGCTCAAGTTATGGGAGGCAGATGAGTGTTTTTGATGTCTGAGCTATTTTAAAGCAGGTCTTCCTCCAGATGTGGGTTATGGTCTCAAATGTGAGCAGGGCCAAAGACAAGACTTCAGCAAATTCCTCAAGGGCAACCTTTACTTTTGCCCAGCAGTCTGTAGGCGTGCTGGGCTTCAAGCTCTGGTGTAATGAGATTGGAATTTTTCAAGAAAAAGCAGAATCATATAAATTGAAAGTCTCCCCGTTTTTATATGCCAACAACTAATTTCTTTTAGCATTGTGTGGGTTAAACCAAACACATGTGAACATGGCTCATGCACTACCAGTTTGCAATCTTGGGACTTTAAGGGCTCCTTTCATGTCCAGTCCTCTCTATGAGCCCAAGAAGGTCATCCATCTTGCTTGAGGAGCTCATCTTAATGATTAGAAGTGGAGTTCTACTCCTCACTTCCAGATACATCCTACTAGCATTTCACGATCTGTAACTAATGATATTTCCTTGGAAATTCTGTGAAAACAGGTTCTTGTTCTGAACTTAAGATTAATTCTATTTCCTGTAACTTACTGAAGCACGTAGCCTCAATTTTCTGGACATTAGTTTAATCTTTTAAAAAATTTTTTTTTTGAGACAGCTTTTCACTGTGTAGCCCAGGCTGGCCTTGAACTTTGTGCAATCATTCTGCCTCTGCCTGCCAAGTGCTGGGGTTACAAATGTGCACCACCATGCCGGGTTAGTTTAATCTTTTTCACACATCTGGTAGCTATTTTCAGTTCTCCAGAATCTAACTTTATTTTGTGCCAACTTTGGAGTGGTAAAACTTTAACGCACTATAACATTTATGAAGTTGAACATTTTTTAAAAGTCTTGGAGAAACATAATCTCTCTTCCTACCTGTTATGGATGGAATTACGTTCTCTGAAATTTATCTGTTGAAACCCTAATTCTCAGTGTACTTTGGAGATAAGGCCTGGGAGGATGTGGTAAGGGTCAGTGGGGTGGTAAGGACTGGGTCCTAACGCAACAAGGGTGGTGTCTGTGTAAGAGGGCAACAGTCAACAAGAGTGTACTGTGCAAGTAAAAGCATGTGGAGAAATAGAACGAAAACAGAGATTGGCAGGCCAGAAAAACAGACCTCACCGGGAAGTGACCCTCAGACACTTTGATCTTGGGCTTCTAGTTTGCAGAATTGTGAGAAAATATGTTTCTTAGGTTAAAGTTGTGCAGTTTGTGGCATTTTGTTATAGCATCTTGAGCAGACCAATACACCACCTATAATTAGCCTGATGTCTTTGTTACACTGATTATTCTAGTCATTCTCAGAGAAATATTACTTTTAGATTGTCCTTTCCCTGTGACATCCTGCTTAATACTTCATGGACATTCTCTGTCTTCAGGCAGAGGAACATCCTTATGGGAAATAAATCAAACTATAATTTGTGACCACAGAATACAAGCCACTTGGTGACTCACCCATAAAATGTGAGATAGAGGAAACCAATCCTTTTCCCAAGTTTTGCAATTTCTCCTTGTCTATCAGCTGCTCCGGTGAGTCGAACGATGCCTACTTTCTTGAGCGTGGAAAGCCACTTATACATAGCTTCATCATTTTTTAGAACATCTTCAAAATCCAGAGTTGGTAGCTGGAGCTCTGAGCCCCAGTGCTGACATTCTGTGAATTAAGAATAAAGAAGACACAGAGGGCGTTACGTTGTTTTTACATAAACCTTAGAGGAGGGACTGCAGTAGCTCATTAGAGCTGATCTTGGCTTTATCATGGATTTCCTGACAATCACACCAGGAATGCCTTCCACCAGGCGTTTGTCTCCTGCCCACAGGTGTCCCCAGCGCATCACTGGCATTTAACGTGTCCCATCTATCAGGGAAATGTTGTCTAGCTTATGTGTTTCAGTCCGCATGTCTTTAGGACTGCTCTGCCAGGACACTACTTAGAAGGGACTCTGAAACAGTCTGTGAGTCAGCAGCAAACTTACACCAGTGAACTCCAACAGACAATAAAGTCAGAATGGCAAACTAGAACAAGCCCATTCTGAGGAGGAGGCAGGTACAGCGGCTGCTTCTTTTCACTTCATCCTATGAGACGTGGTCTCTGGGGTCAAGTTGTCCTCTGGGTCACCAAGAGCTGGTGTGAGGAAGCAGAGAAGATGCTGTTCCCTGGTGCCTGAGGCTTTGGTGGCAGTGCTGAAGGAGATGAGCTCAAGGGCCTTTCCTTTGTGCCCTCCTTCCTAATAATTAAATGCTCATATAAATGTTCTGTTGGGAAAATAGCAAGGAAAACAAATAAAAAAATAATTGGTTTTGCAAACCAAGATTTCCCACAAGAAGTGGAACACAAAAGAGATGTACATTTGCCAAGGGAAGCAACTGAGATTTTAACAAATGCATTCAGGAAAGAAAGGATGCTAGCTAAGCCGTTTGACTTCTTCCTTTCTTGGGAAGGAAATTACCTGAGAAAGGCAAACCTCCCTAACAAGTGGCCGGGTGAGAACCTCATGTCCTCAGTGTTATTTTGAACAGTGCTCTACATTCCTAGCTCGGGGATCTACACGTTATGGAAAGCAACCCAAAGCCCTCACTGAAGAATGAGCATTGGGTAAGCACTTCTCGGAGCAGTTGTAGACTGGAAATCATTTCCTCTTTGATGTCTCTGTAGTCTTTTACAGAAATAAGAATGCATTTTAGGAGTCAATGGTAGCGTTAGTAGTGAACAAATACATACAGGTGCAGAGAGCCCCTGTTCCCCACCCCCAGCGAGCTGCATGAAGATATTTGCAGTAGTGAATATGTGTGCATATGGAGGAAGATCTAATGAGGCTATTAATGCCTATATTGCCAAAGTTTCCAGGTTATTAAACATAACAGCTTGCATAATGAGCTAGAATTTTAAAGGGTTGAACTACAAACTATAAATCAGCCTTGCCTAGCAGTTGTGCCAATTCTTAGTCTATGTCAGTATTCCTCAGTACTGAATACATTCTGCAGTGCAAGTGGCTCACAATATCAGCCAGGTAGTCAAACTGGTACCCAGCCATTGGTGCCTAATTTCTGGTTTGAACTGTTTTCTCTCTGGGAGACCAGCTAGAATAGCAACTAAGTCACCTTGGCTCAGAGAAGTAGGTCAGCACCTGGACCACAGTGTGTTAGACCAGAGCAGGTTGTTGGGAGCAGTAACAAACAGTGAGGCATGGTGGTTTCAGGGCAATAATCATAGTTTTTATCGGGTGAGAGAAGAGGCTGAGCATATCGCCCAATAATCATTTGTTGGCTGATCTTTTCAATATGTCTGACGTTTTACTCAGTCACGAGGCACTGTGGAGAGGCAGCAGGTCGGAAGGAGCTCACAGTCTGCTGCAGAACTGGACAGAGAAGCTGACAGCAAACACTCGCTATCCCAGATGGTGGAGCTAAAGTAGGCCCAGGGTCCTGTGGAGGTGCTGGGACTTCTGATCTCCATCCAGTGGCCTTTCTGTGATGTCAAACTCTTCCACACGCACCGTGCTCTTCCGGGTCTCTTTCCACAGGCCTCAGGCATTTCTTTCTCTAAAATCAAAGTTGATCTTAAAGGAAGGACAGAGCGGTCTGTTTGGCTTTGCTGTGAATATTATGTGTCTGTTTGCTTGGCCACTCCCACTGGTACAGTGCATTTTAATTCTCCAGTTTGTAATAACCAATACTGGTCAAGAAGATCTGCAGGTAGGATGAGAAATGCTGTGAATATTGCTCACTGGCTGCCTGATTAGACAGGGCATTTGACTTCTAGTTAAGAGAAAAGTTTCCTGGGTAAAATGAAGGCCATAAATAACAAATGGCTTCCTTTCAAAGATTACTTCTAAGTGGATAATATGCACAAATTTAAAAGAAATAAGTAATTTTAAGCTGATTGACTTTGTGATTGAAATCAGGGATGCATAGAATATTATAGGTAGATGAGATGATGGAAAATTATTTGGGATTTTCCTGTTGGCTTTAGGATTTTTCACCACTATTAGTTTTGTTTGTTTGCTTGTTTATTTGTTTCTTTTGAGACAGAGTCTTGCTATGTACTCATGGGTACTGAACCCATTGTGTAGTCCAAGCTGGCCTTAAACTCATGGAAATCCTCCTGCCTCGCCTCCCAGGTGCTAAGATTACAGGTGTGTGCCACCATGCCTGGCACTGTTAATTTTAATCATTGAACAGAAAGTTTGCTTGAACTTCAACTGAGGGGTCCTCTAGTTCTTTGGCAGTAAGATCATCTGAGTATAAACATCTTGTCCATTCCTATGCAGTCTGCTGAATGCAATTAGCTATTGGCTATTAGTCTATTGAAAATGAATTATCTTTATCATAGAGGCCTGATAATTTACTAATAAATGTTTATTCTATTTTTTAAAGAAAAATTGTTGTTTTCTTGAGACTAAACCAGCCTTGAGAAATAGGCCGCAGTACTGTTCAGTATATTCCACCTCCGTGGTATACAATACCACAGCTACTAGCAACATATGATTATTGAGACAATATTTCAATACTGGCCTATGGAATGTTTTTACTTAGCTCAATTATAATTAATTTAAACTTTATTAGAATTATGACATGTCTAGAACTACATCAAACATGGATTTTCAGGGGAAAGCATAGAGGCAGACAGCTGGATTTTCATGCCTCTCAAAAGCTAGATTTTTGGGCCTCTTTTCTGATAATCAGCCTCTTAATTTACAAACGAGGGACAATAATAGTTACCCAGTAGGTCTTTTGTGATCATACAATGAGGTTAGGCAAGGAGCTCGTTACTGTGCCTGGCTCACAGTATACTCACAGCAACAACAGCAACCACTGTGATAAATCTTTGCTGAATGCCTCCCGGGCGCCAGGACAGTGGTAGAAGCATTGTAAATGTTCTTTTAAATCTCCACATCGAATACACAGAACAGATGCTTTCAGACTCGCCACGTTAGAAGGAAGAGAACAAGGGTCCACAGCATGTGTGTAATGACTGGCAGAGCCAGCGAGTTAAATCCAGCGACCAGTCCTAAGCCTGTAATTTTACCATTCTACATAACATCAGCCTGTGAAGTCTTGCAATACCGTCATCACAGGCATTTTTATACTTGATGCCCAAATGTCCACAGCTTATTTTGTCCCTCATAAAGGAAATTTACTAGGTAATAAAGAAAGCAGAGTGAGTTTTAATGAGGAGCGCTTTGTCTGAACTTGCTCAAGCATGGGTGTTTAAACATAAACCATGGCTCCAGCCAGGATTTTAAATGCAGAGGAAGCATCCAGAGCAGGGCTCATTGCAGCGGCATTGCCAGGCACCTTTTGTGAAATGAACCACAGCATCGCATATTCCAGAACCAGTCAGGTGCTGTTCTTTAATTTATGCCAATGTCTCTCACCGAGCTGTGGCTTTTTGCTTTCACTTAAAGCCAATATCCAGAAGAGTTTTAGTGCCCACGTGGCAGGAAAACATAGACACATTAAATTTTATTTTCACATGATGTAATTGTTTGTGAAACTGTAAGTTTGTATTACGACTAATCAAATTTCCGCATAAGGTCAACTTTGAACCTAACCGCTGAATTTGCTTGGGTTCTTGTCTCAATTGTGCAAAGAGTTCCGTTTGTAAACTGAGGTTCCACTTTATATTTAAGAGGCTCTGTTTAGGGAACATGCTGTATATACTTATAGCATGTTCGCGTGAGCTTTTATTTCAGTGTAGGTTATTTTTTCCCATTTCAAAACAGCACACATTATATATTATTGTTTGTTTTAATAATACGGAAGGATGTTAGATTTTTGAAATAAATGCATTATTCTTTAGACATGTACAATGAATCATACTCACACAGACATTCCAGGGGAACACAAGGCTGGTGCTATAATATGTGGCATGATTCATAATTAATAACTTCAGATTTTCAGGGTTTTACTACCAGAGCATGGCTGAAATGGGTTTTAGGATCTGCCAAGTTTACAATTTTTAAACTTTAGTTCTAATTTTGGAATGCTCTGGCAGGAGCTTTGCTGAAATCAGACACCAAGGACCACAGCTCATCACAGAGTCTGTGACATAAGCCACCCGTATTGTCCTTCATTTTAGATGTGGCTGTCACAGACAGTGATGTGAGCAGTGGTTTCCAAACTCATCATATTGTCTTGAAGTAAAATACCCTAATTTACAGGGAGATGTATCCCACTAAATCCACCGGGAAAAGAGCTCTGTAATAATTTAAAAGCATTTTCCCATTGCTTCCTAACTGTGAAACATGACTATCAGGGGAATCAAAAGAAAATCCATTTGACTAGACTAAATCACTTGTCAGGAGAATGCATTAAAAACAAACTAAAGTTTCACACGTGGGCCTACCTACATAAAGAGAATGGAAAATGATAGAGTATTTAAGGTATGAACCAGCCTTCCTAATTTAACTTACGGTCTTCCTAATAAATACTTCCTCAAACATGTGCTTCACACATCATAAAACTTAGGAACAAGCTCCATGCTGGCTGTTAAGGAATCGTTTGTCCTCCTCCTGCGGAGGAGCACGATTACATTCCTGGGCCCTGCATTCTATCAAAAGGGAAAAGACACAAAGAGGTTTTGAGTTCACTCTGTGGGCTTTTGTAGTGTGTTATTTTGAGAGCTCCAGACCTGCCATTCACCTGCTCTGA